ATAAAAAGTTATATATATATATATATATATATATATATATATATACTATGTTAAACATATAAATTTTATTTAAAATTAAAATATATAAATAATTTATATTATAACAAAATTTATTGTATTTATTGGTAATTTATTTTAAAATATTAATATTTAATTTATAAATAAATTTGATAAATCAAAATTGAATTAGATAAAAGGTTACAAAACATTCTACAATCTCTCATCATTGAAGTAAAGTTTCTAAAAACACTTGAAAAAAATAAATGTTCGGGATTAATATATGAGGACTAATTAATTAATTAATAAAATTAGTAGCATTAAATTTATTAATAATATAAATTATTTTTAAAATTAATTATCTCTTTTCATTTAATTATTTATCACTTAATTAATTAATATTTAAAATTTATGTACTCCAATTCTAATAAGAGAAAAAAAATTATTAATTTCTAATATTTTCTATTGTTTTTGTCCAAAAGTGTTAATTAAAAATTTAAAATATTTTAGATAAAATAATTAATACAAGAGACAATAAAAAATAATTTTTTTGAGCAATTAAAAAAAATCTTGTAAAAAGGAACAACGTAAAAAAGAAAAATTGTCTCATACTGATTGAGAATTGAGATACAGACGTTGGTAATAAATTAAAGTGTTATGTTAAATCAGATAAGCTTTTTTTTTTTTTTTATATTTAATTTCTTAAGTTTTGAATCATATGAGACAGGCTGATTTGAAACTTATATCTTTCAATGAATGACCTTTTATGGGTCATCGTAACCTTGGGTTGTGTTCTCTGAAATACGCCAACCATGTCTGTCTAGTTTCAGTGATCAATTATCGCATTGCTGCTACTACTCCATTTCACCCACTTTGGCGCCATTCATGTTCCTTATTTCACTCCACCATAACCAATGCGCCACCACCACTGAGTGCTCTTCATGCCCTCTCCATCAAGAATGCTTCCCTTCAAACTTTGAACTCGGCTAACCATCTTTTAAATCTCTATGCTAAATCCAACAACATGGGCAATGCCCAGAAGCTGTTTGATGAAATTCCCCAGAAGAACACTCAGACATGGACCATCCTTATATCTGGTTTTGCCAGAGCTGGCTCTTCGCAAGTGGTCTTTAACCTTTTCAGAGAAATGCAAACAAAGGGTGCTTCTCCAAATCAATACACCTTGTCCAGTGTCTTCAAGTGTTGTTCACTTGACAACAATCTTCAATTGGGTAAGGGGATCCACGCGTGGATGCTCCGAAATGGGGTTGATGTGGATGTTGCACTGGGAAACTCTATTCTTGATCTTTACTTGAGATGCAAAGTTTTTGAATACGCTGAAAGGTTGTTTGAGTTGATGAAGGAGGGAGATGTTGTGTCGTGGAATATAATGATCGGTGCGTATCTGCGTGCAGGAGATGTGGAGAAGTCGATTGACATGTTCAGGAACTTGCCTTACAAGGATGTTGTGAGTTGGAATACGATTGTTGATGGGTTGATGCAATGTGGTTATGAAAGACGTGCATTGGAATTACTCTATTGTATGGTGGAATGTGGGACTGAGTTCTCTGCAGTTAGTTTCTCCATAGCTCTTATTTTGGCTTCCTCTTTGTCACTTGAAGAGCTTGGGAGACAACTTCATGGGATGGTCTTAAAATTTGGCCTTGATAGTGATGGTTTCATAAGGAGTTCACTTGTTGAGATGTACTGTAAGTGTGGGAGAACGGATAAGGCGTCTATAATTCTCAGAGATGTTCCTCTGAATTTTCTGAGAAAAGGGAATATTGGAGTTACTTGGAAGGAACCAAAGGCAGGAATAGTTTCATGGGGTTCAATGGTCTCTGGTTATGTTTGGAATGGAATGTACGAAGATTGTTTGAAAATTTTCAAACTAATGGTTCGTGAACTGGTTGTAGTGGATATTAGAACTGTTACAACCGTTATTTCTGCTTGTGCTAATGTTGGAATTTTGGAATTTGGCAGGCATATACATGCCTACATTCAGAAAATTGGGCATAGAATAGATGCTTATGTTGGCTCTTCCTTAATTGATATGTATTCTAAATCTGGTAGCTTGGATGATGCATGGATGGTTTTCAGACAAATCAATGAACCAAACGTTGTATTGTGGACTTCAATGATATCTGGCTGTGCACTACATGGTCAAGGAAGGCAAGCAATTGGTCTTTTTGAAGAAATGTTGAAACAGGGAATTATACCAAATGAGATTACTTTTCTAGGGGTTTTAAGTGCATGCAGCCATGCAGGGCTGCTTGAAGAAGGCTTTAGATATTTTAGTATGATGAAAGATGCTTATCATATCAATCCTGGAGTTGAACACTGCACTTCCATGGTTGATCTCTATGGTCGAGCAGGTCGCTTAATGGAGACAAAAAACTTTATTTTTGAAAATGATATCTCTCATTTGACTTCTGTGTGGAAATCATTTTTGTCATCTTGTCGGCTTCATAGAAATGTCGAAATGGGAAAGTGGGTTTCCGAAATGCTACTTCAAGTTGCACCATCTGATCCAGAAGCCTACATTTTGCTATCAAATATGTGTGCTTCTAACCATAGATGGGATGAGGCTGCCAGGGTAAGGAGTTTAATGCATCAAAGAGGAGTCAAGAAGCAGCCTGGTCAATCTTGGATCCAAATAAAGGATCAAATTCACACTTTTGTCATGGGAGATAGGTCTCACCCTCAAGACAAGGAGATATATTCATATCTGGACGTTTTAATTGGAAGGTTGAAGGAAATTGGATATTCCCTTGAAGTGAAACTGGTCATGCAGGATGTAGAAGAAGAACAAGGGGAAGTACTCATTAGTCATCACAGTGAAAAGCTTGCAGTTGTCTTTGGCATCATTAACACTGCCAATAGGAGCCCAATTCGAATTATAAAAAACCTCCGCATTTGTACCGATTGCCATAGCTTCATTAAAAATGCTTCCCAGCTTCTAGATCGCGAAATAATTGTGAGAGATATTCATAGGTTTCATCATTTTAAGCATGGCAGTTGCTCTTGTGGAGATTATTGGTGACAAAGATAAAATATACAATTACCTAGTTTACAACATATAGTCGTGATGCTCTGAAACCACTCATGGTAACATAGTGTGGTATGTACATCTCAACTTAACAGTCCATGTGATACTGCTAGTTGCAGTGGAGTAAAACAGAGCAGGGAATCTAAGTTGTTGGTTCCATGTTAGACTAAATCTATGGTTCATATTTTCTATATTTTTTTTTTTGTTTATTATCAGATCCTAATTTGCATATTTTTTGCTATCAGAAGTTAGACTGACCAATCGTTTCAATCTTGATATCATCTTATGATGTTTCATCCTCTATATGCCTATACAATGTGTTGATGCAGTAAAGCATCAGATCAGATGAACGTTATATTCTGGGAGCTAATCTCAAAACATGGAATGGGAAATGATTTATAAATACAGTTTTCTTATTGTCATAATTATTTATTTTTTTTTATTTTTATTTATTTATTAATTATTATTATTATTATTATTATTATTATTATTATTATTATTATTATTATTATTATTATTATTGTATTTAGCCCTCAAAATGGCATTGATCACCCAGGCCAAGGGAAGCCAGGCCAGGACTGGCAAGTTGGAGTTCCTAATTCCTCCTTTATGCTCTGTTTGGTAGAGCTGAAATACAGTGGACATAGAGTGGGTGGATAACAGTAACACTCGCTGACTCACGTTGTTTGGTACAATGAAATATCAAAAGAAATAAAAAAAGGTTGTAGATCTTGTGAAAAAAATTAATGGGTGAAGTGAAGGGAAATAACTTAAAATCAGGTTAGGGGAAAGTGTATAAATTAGTACCGATGAAATATCAAACAATTTTTTATTTTTTATTTTTTATTTTTCCTTTTTCTATTTCTCCATAATGAAACACTCTTAAAATCTGCACTATTTCTCCCTTTTTTCCATATACCCCATTTCTCTTCTCTCTACTTTTATCCATCCTTTTTTTTTCCTCTTAACAAAATTAAAATCAAGTCAGCATTTTTGAGTAAGAACTTAAAACAAGTTAGCCTGTATAGTCCCCTAAATTAAAAATAAAAATAAACAAATGAGAAAATTGAAAACTATTAAAAATGAAAGAGTGGAAAATGTAATAGGAAAATGGAGGGAAATTTATATAGCAAGTTAAAAAATGTTCAATTCCTAGTACAAAATAGCGTAAAAGCAAAATTAAAACGTGAATAAATGCAAGTAAAAAGATGTTGAAATAGCTTCTGATGATTCTGGTCATCTTTGTCAGATAAAATAATTGTGAAACTTCCTCACACCTCAATTGCTCAGCTTTATACGTCACAGACTGACAAAGATAAATCATTGGTATAGTAATGGCTTAATTGTTTGGTGTAATAGTACTTCAGAGTTCAGATGAATATGATGCTCTTGTATTTCCACCTTTTCCCAGCCAAATACTCAACTTTTGATTGAAAGGAATTGAATTTAATCAATTTATAGTTTGCTTGCGGGGAGAAAGTTTAGCAGGTTGGGGAGGTTGCATGGCACAAACCTAAGCAAAAACTTGCAGTGATACTTATAAATGACCTATTAATGGAAGACCTTCTTGTCTGCGTTGTTCGGTCCAGTATGTTAAGCAACCTTCATTGCCTACTTGATTGTCTTGTGTTTTTTATTTTCTGACAGAGGACTCACCTAACTTTTGAATCTTGATACTCAAGGTCGTGTGCATCAAGGAAGCTCTGGCACAATTTCTTAGTTATCTAGGCTCTGGTTTTGTAGCTTCTATTTATAAGCCAATACTACTTTAATTATTCCTTGCACTATTCTCATGTTTGCTATAATCATGCAAAGCACAACTCATTTTATTTTATTTTTTAATTGATATTACTTCAAATTGGAATTTCTCTGATGCTCAGTGGCTCTCTAATTTCTCATGTATTAGTGATATGCACAATCTATTTCTTAACAGAAAATCTTGATGACTGCTGTTCCATTTCATAAAATGATAATTTCAGGCAGAACTGGCAAAAACAGTTGTACGGGATATTGAATTGAAGCAAATGAAAAATATAGTGGTTAGTATTACAATTAATAATTTCAATCAGAAGAAACGTCACTGACATTTTCTTCTCATATTTTGGATTTCAAAGAAATAAATGATATGGGTAATTGGCTTTATCAATGTATGGCTGTGCATGTTTTAACTTCTTCACTAATCAACATTACAAATTACGGGAAAAAGGCAGTGTAGAAAAGGACTTAATCTTGTATTATTATTCAAGTTGTTGTGGTCGTTATAGGTGAGACACAGCTTAAGAACCACTTGCTACTTTTTGTCTCCCATAGAATAAGTTAATTCTCAGTTATATGGACGCATTATTTGTTCTTTACTGCTTTGCACCAATCATAGACTAAATGAACAATATTACTGGTTGAGAAAGAGGTAAGTTAACCATTATTTTGAGTGATTAAATTGCATTATTACAGGGACAATTTGGTCTTTGTAAACTATAAGTATATACGTTACTGTTACTATCATGAATAGGAATTTGTTAAACCTGTAGTTTTCTCGTTCAGATTCATTGTAGTAAATAATGATGTGCAATGTAACCCATTAGATAGTTCTATATTCATCCCTTCGCTGATTCATTCTTCGACAAAACATTAAATGCGGTCAATGTGTCAAAATCTGATTGCAGAAAATTTGACTCCGTAGTTTTCATAAAAAAATAAAAGGGTAAGAGTATAAATGAGACAAATCAAGTTAGAGTTCATCTTTAAAAGGTCACACTTATTTCTCAAAATCTAAGGTTTAAGTTTTATCTATTTATTTGACACGGACGTTTTTTTTTAAGGTTTAGATATGACCTTTTCGAATGTTTGGTTGAAAATTTACTTTGTAGTAATTTTTCTTTTTACATAGTAAGCCATAGTGCAGGTTAATGGACCTAATTTCTTAAATAAATCAAGTATATAATTTTAAAAATTTATAATATTTTTTTTCATAACTTACTAATCATATTAATGATACGAAATATTTATTAATTTTATTAATAATTAATTTTCGTTAAGAATTTATCTAACTACTTTTAATAATAAAAAATTCTCCCAATAACGTAAGACATTTGAACAAATGTTGGATCAAATGTAACAGATTTTTTTCCCTAATTCATTGACATACATACTTTTTCATTTAAAGCTTCAAAATGTGTGACAATTCAAAGACACACTTATGGTTTATAATATAAATTAATAAATAATAATAATAATAACTAAATATTTTTAAAATATTTTTAAAGTTTTTTTTTAACTAAATATTTTTAAAATAAAAACTTTTAACTGATGTTGTAAATAACTTTTAAGTTTAATCTAGTTTATGTTATCACATAATTTCATCCCTAAGTAAGAGTTGATTACAACTTTATTAACTTACTAAGCTTCCGTTAATCAACTCACATCAAATTTAGTGAGAAATGCCCCGGAAGGCAGACAACTCAACCTGCCTTCAACAAATCCACTTTCAATTCTTACAATCAATGATGCCCTTCTTCTTTGTATTCAAGAAATATCAAATTTGGTCTCCATCGCCAGAAGTTGGAGATTCATTGGGAGGTTCGCTTGGGATGTACTACTTCTAGTTCGAGTCCAAAACAAGTAAACAAAAAGAACACGGATAATACCCTTTATTATTTTAAAAAGAAAAATAAAATGTACACTATAAACAACTAAAAGAAAAAGATATCATTGGTTACTTATTGTAGAAGAGAGGTAAGTGAAGGAAAGGAGAGCACTTGAAGGGGAAAATTATGATGTGATATTATCTTTGGTTCATAGGGTTTGATTTCGCTTTAGTCACTCACTACTCAACCAACTTTTTCAAGGTGATGTTCGTTAGAGACACATAAAGTGGATGGATCCATCGATATGAAAAAGTATACCATACATTGCATTTGCATTACAATATATTATGTTAAATAAGTCTAAACATATGATCTTGCGTATGTGTGTGTATGTCTCTTTCACTCACCAAACGGATTTATTAATAAGATGTAGCTTGACTTTCTATACGTAATAATAACATGCTCCACAACAAATTGAATTTAAGCCATCGTGTTGTGCCTCATTATTGTATTATAACAACAAACAACTAGGTTGCTAGCCCTAGGTGGTAGCTATATATGGTACTTGTCTAATCTAAACTCAAAGGTTGCGTTATTCTCGCTTGCTAGCTCAAGCTCCAATTCCAATAGTTTGATCTTATCCTCTAAGAAAGAATGAGACAAAGAATGGAAAGGCTTGTCATTCTTCCTTTCTCTGCTGGTTGCATCTCTGAGGCCAGTGTTGCTGTTGGCATTCCACAACCAAGAAGATCAAAACCAGGCACCAATCTACCAGCTGCTACAATAAGTCTCTCTCTCTCTCTCTCTTAGTTTATTTGACTAATTTTCTTTTTCTTTTCTTTTTCATCATTTTTATATACAACTATATATATAGTTTTAGATAGAATAAAAGCAATGCACTTGTACACAAATACATGTTCACTTTCCCATTTATATGAGACATGCACGTTTGACAAAAACATGATAAAGGTAAAAAGAATTATTGTTAGCTATATATTTATATTATGTGTGTGTAAAACTATAAAAATATAGGATGAATTTTATTAATCCAATCATATTGGGTTAACTATTTTTTTAGTACGTGTATCAATATTAAAAAATAGGTGATAATTTATTAGAATATATTTTTCTTTTGTACATAAATATGATTCACATAGTGTTTTAAAGGACAAAATTTATAATCATTTGATCAAAAGATTTAGTCTTATTATAACACATGATTTAATGGTTAAATTAGTTAAGTTTGTATTTTATAAAGAAAATAATAAAATTAAGTAATCAATCAAAAATTACTTTTTAGGTGTCATGTGCACTAAATTATGATATACTTAAATTGTTTCATCTGATCTTGTTCCTATAATTATGAGACAAGTGTAGAAGGATCTAAAGGTGTTGAGGATTCAGAAATTTTGTCTGGTGAAAACATGAAGAACTCATTGAGACTGTTGGACGTTGTACCGAAACCTAACCTATCCAATGGCTTCAATAGGTTGTTCAAGGGTTTCAAAAATTTTTCCCAATTATTTGGTGAGTAATTTAACATTATAGTTTAATTTAAGAATAAATATATACATACATCATCTTCATAAGAGATCTTTACACTATTATTTAATCACAAATTTTTATTAATGCTAAATTTGTTAACTTTAATTTTATAATAGTTGCTTTACAAGTCTTACTGATGTTGATGTCTAATTAATTAATAGTATAATTTTTTTAAAAAAAAATTAGGTGATGTATTAACCATGTAAAGTAATTTTATATTGTAATTCAATCACAAATTCATTATTTATAGTAAATTGTTGACTTATTTAATAAAAAGTTATACCAATAATAATACCTAATTAATTGAGGATATACAACTATTCCACACTATCAATGCATAACCATTTTATCAAACTCTAGTTTTTTACACTCACAATACATGAAAAAATAAAAAATAAAAATCAAACTCCTAGTTTTATAATCCCATCTTTTATATATGAATTTGATTTATGTGAGAGTAAAAAAAATCTTTAATTACATCTAACTAGTTAAAAATTATCCTAATAAAAAATAACAATCTTATTATATTTTATGATAGTTTAGGATCAAATGATATCTTAAAATTAAAACCTTTGCACATATTTTGCAGTGGAGAAAGATGATGAGTTTGAAGAAGTGGAAATAGACATGGAAATAGGGTGCCCAACAGATGTGCAGCATGTAACACACATTGGTTGGGATGGCATTGCATCTTCTGCTGAACAC